AAAAAAAAAAAAAACTTAATGACGGGTATTTGAATTGGATATGGATAAATTTATAGGGATGTATACAACAAAAATTTCCTCCCTAATTCAACAAAGAATGACACTTAAACAAAGATGATGAAAACTGTTGCTTATAGAAGCAGCAGAAAAAAAATCTCTGATAGTTGTTTTCCTATTCACAAGGAGTTCAATGCGCCCACAAGCAATATTTGTGCTTCTCACTTATTTATTTCTTCTTGCAATTCCCTAAACAAAATATTGATAAATTTATAGGGATGTATACCACAAAATTTTATTTGAGATAATTAAAATAATTATTATAGTGACATAAAGAAAATTATTAAATTATATGAATTTTCTTATAATTTAATTTCAAATGTAATCAGCTAAGTATCAAACTGCTAATTTTACCAAACACTATTTTACAAACTACTAATAAAATCTGCTGGTCAAAACGGCTGACAAAATCCGCTGGTCAAAACAGCTAATACAATCCGATAATAGCTAACAACTAACCGCTAATTGCCAAACAAGACCAATATCCGATAAACACAACAATATATATAATAAATTTGAAAAAGGCGTTTTTCTTTTTAATACTTTCCAAATCGAAATAGAACTTTATATATAATTCACATAAAAATTTGTCGAATCTCAGTCTAAATCTCAATATTAAACATAAAAAAAGTTCAAAAAACATGGATTTGTACAATGATGATGTAGAAAACAAATGATGCATAGTGTCTTAGATCTTACATAAGCACTACAAGAAAAACTGCATTTAGCGACGCTTATTGGCGAGTTGTGTTGCTAAATTTGATGTCAGAAAAAATAAGCGTCAATAAGCAAAAAAATAAGCGTCGCCAAATGCAGTTTTTCTTGTAGTGAAGATATGTAAAACTATATATTAAAACTATGTTATTGATATATAAGCATTGTCTACTTTTGAAAAAACGATAGAAACTTTTTTTTAACAAAATAACTAAATTCGAAACAAAAATTGAAGACCCTACCTTTTATAAACTCAAAAACACAAATCTTATAATTTTAACAATCAAGTTTTGAAATGATTTTCGAGGAAAAAAAAAACAGAAGAATAAACAAAAGCGTAAAATTCAATCTTTGGAATATTGGAAAAACATTTGAAAACGATTAAAAAAGCCAAGAAAAATTGATAATTTTTTGAACAATTTTAAATTTTTATCCATAATTCAATGAAAAACATAAGATTCACAAAAATGAGAAATATTTTTCAAAATTTCAGAGATAATGGAGAGAGTACGGAAGTGGGTTATGAAAAAACCCTAAAATATCGGATAAATCGGCCTTTTTATAGATGCGAGGAATTGTTTTTCACCGTTCGATCGATGTTAACCAATATATGTCGTACGATCAAATGTTCCATTGAATATGGGCCGAATTTAACTAGCCTTTGATTGGCCAACCGTTGGCCTTAATGCATTTTATATTTGGGATTGTTGGGTTTTTAATTTGGCCCAATACTAACAAGAAAAAATGGTCCATTAAGTTTGAGTTGGCCTTTTAATTTAGGTCAATAAATTGGGTTACATACTTGAGTTTATAATTTTTGGCCTTTATAAATTGTGATGAGCTTTTTTAATTCAACAACATTATAAATTAAAGAGTTGTAATTATTTAATCATTTTATTTATATTAGTAATAATATCACATTGTTAAGTAATTATTTAATATTATTTAATATAATAATATCATTAGTAAAAACTTAGTGGTAATGGTGCTTTATAGCACTTTAGCAAAACTTATCTGTATGTGTTTATTATTTAATTTCTAGAACATGCTAGATATGACTAAACTCTCCATTCATGTGCTCGAATGCAAAATATTAAAAGGAGATCAAGCTAACAAGAAAGTGTTGACTCTTAGACCATCCTTATTGGTGGCCTATAGGTTGGGTCACCAAGAAAAAGACAAAAAAATATATATAAAAAAAAAAAAGGAAAATAGCAGAATTTTAGCGACCCAGGTCACATTGTGACCTTGGGTCGCGACATCCTCTTTTGCTTTTCTTTTTTTTTTTCCATTCTTTTTGGATAAAGGGAGAGAGAGAATTGGGCCACTTGTCCCATTTTCATAGGGCACTATTAATTTTATATGATTAGATAAGTATAACTCAAACTATTGATATTATCTTATATCAAAAAATAAAATAAAAAATATCAAAATTCGTATTTTTTCATTCTCTACAAATAGAGATCACTCTTGATATGTTTTGAAACACAATCGAAATTGTTATATTGGGTTGGGTTGTAGATAAAATAATACCAAAAAATATATTGTAAATAATATTTAATAAATAAATAGATAGATAAAAATAAAATAAGTATTATGTTGGATTGGATTGAGTTGTGATGTGGATAAAAAAAATCTAGGTTGTTAGAAGATGGGTTGCGTAGGTAGAGGTAAGAGAAAAAATTTTTTATTATTGAGTTGGGTTGAGTTGAGTTGTGGATAAATATAGTCTTACCATGAATATAACTCATTATGATCCTAGGGTTGCATTTAAGTTCCAGTGGTGATAGTTCTCACTTGTGGTATCGTATGCCATGACCATAAACAAGAGTCATGGTAACATGTTGCCATGTTCATGAAGAAATATGTATTTAGTCACGACAAATTATATGTTGTTCTTTCGCGTGTAACTAATAAAATGACTGAAGAAATTAGTCTATTAGAACAACGTATATAATGAGATTTTTAATAATATATAATTTTTTTTTTCTGTAATGAACATTTTATGATTAGACAATTTCCTACGTATTATAACATTTTTATTTATTGATATACTTTAACTTATAATATTTCCTAAATAAATGCAGCCCGTGCATCGCACGGGTTACGCACTAGTTAACAAAAAATAGTAACAAAAAAAGTTAACCAACATTTATTATATTATATTTTTGTAATTTTTGATTTTTTATGTTTTAAATTATTCCTAAAAAATCAAAGTTATATATGCAACATAAATTCATGGGTTTCGAGGATTTAATTTAGGTAAATTTCGACTGATGCTTACAACTTTGCAAAATTCAAAATTCTTTCTCAATTTTAATTTTAAAAAAAACTTTCAATTAGGTCCTGATTGGTATAATGGAATGAAATGTCATAGGAATATAATGAATTGAATAATGGAATGACTATGAGAATGGAATGAAACAAGTTTTGTCATTGATGCGTTTGGTATGCAGGATGAATAAGACCGAATGGAATGACATTATCATTTTTAATATATAAGTAAATAAAAGTTTTTTTTTTAAATAATATATTTTTAATAAATTATATATAAATGCTTTTTTCAATAATGTATGAAAAAAAAATAATATATGTTTTAGTAATATAAAAATAATATATTTTTAAAAATATAAAAAAAATTAAATAATATATTTTTAAATTATATATAATAAATAATATATTCTTAAAAGTAATATATTTTAATATATAAAAATAATATATTTTTAATAATATATAAGAATAAAAAGTAATGTATTTTTAATAATATATATTTTTATTTTTTAATTAAACAATAAATAAAAGTAAGTTTTCAAATTTTTATTTGAATTTTGTTTTTTAAAATAATATATTTTTAAATTTATAAAATAAAAGTAATATATATCTAATAATATATATTTTTAATATTTTTTAATAATATATTTTTCAAAGTGATATATTTTTAGTGTATAAAAATAATATATATTTTTAATTATATAAAAATAAAATAATAATTATATATAAATGTTTTTTTTTTGTTTTATTTTTATATAAGTATTTAATATATCTAATTAAACAATAAATAAAAGTAAGTTTTCAATATTTTTATTTGAATTTTAATTTTTAAAATTATTTTATTTAATATATTTTAATCATTATTTATAATATATATTATATATATTTTTTTATTATTATTTGTTAATTTTATATGTTGAAAAATTGATTCCTACACACATGAGAATGAGAAAACCTTCCATGAACTATGAAATGGCTAATCTCATGGAGATGGGTTTTGCCATTTCCATTAGAATGGTCATTCCTTTCCAAAAAATATACCAATAATGAGATAAGGAATGAGTAAGAGAATGATAATTCCATTTCAATGTCATTTTCTCATACCAATATATCTTTTACTAATTGCAATAGATTATCTGTTTATTAAAAAAATTGAATTGCATAGAAATCGAGTTAAATTATGTTCGAGCATGACAATTTTGTAAAAGACGATTTACCAAAAGACAAAACAAATAATGTTGTGTATAAAAATATGTGTAATAATATATAAGTTATATTTTATTTATTGCAATACATGTGTTTCACGTTCTTCCAATCATCTAATTATCCAAATCTAAATATTTACCTTAAAAAAACTTGCTCGTACATCGCAAAATTTTTAAAGATTCAACCCATATTGTCCAATTTTTAACATATTTGAATTTTAGGGGGAAAATGATTGAAAGGCTACTCTAAAAACATTTGAAGAACTTTTTAAGGTATTTGAATTTGAATATTTTGGGGGAAAATTGATAGAAATAGAAAGATTTACTTGCAAAAATAAATTGAATGAAAAGATTTTAGTACGTGAAGTTAGTCAGAGCAATAACCTTTTTTTTTTTTTTTTTTT